GTTTTTAATTTGAAAAAGAGGATGAAACTATTTCACATTTTCTGATTTCATGTACAGCATTAGAAACTGAAAGAGTGTATCTTTTGAAATCTCTACGAGAACAATATATCAAAGTGCTAGCACTACTAAACATTAATAGATGTAGACTTCATCCATGTTATTATCAATCCATATCAATTAATGAACTACTGTGACACCTCTCTAACCAGACAGTGAACTATATGCTTGTAAATTTATTAACACCCACATAGAGCCTGCTTGTACACAACATTTGGAGTTCCACAGGGTTGTTAGAAATGATGGCTACGTCATCAGCACAAGTTGGGGCACAGCATCCAATGTCACCTATATGTCCACCCAGTCCTGTTTCACAGAGGATATTTAATAGCGGATTAACATACAGTTTGTATAAATCTGCACTAATGGCACCACCCTGTCGTACACCTTGTTCAATCGCAAACATCTGTTAAGTGTTGTTTCTCCATTTTATACATGAAGTTGCATTTTTATATATAAGCTATCTATTAATATTATAGATTGGTCTGATATTCCTGCTTGATATAATCTTCGTATCAAATTTGAATGAACAACAACATCAAATGCAGATTTACCATCTAAAAGGGCTATGCACGTTGGAAGTTTCAGATCTTTGCTCTCGCGTTCAAACTCTTCGATCATAAGTTCACATAATGAAGGGGTGGTGTTTTCTGTAAATCCTCTTTGGAGCGGATTCTGATTTTTCAAGATAACTGGATTTCCCCTTATTTTTATTATCTTCTCTATCAGCTTGGAGTATGTTGGAGTTACGGTAATACCACGATAGTTTTTAGCACTTTTAATATCACCTTTATTCTTGTATACTGGGAATAATGTTCCAATTTTGAGAATGTCAGATATGCAGCCAAATTCAAATAATTTATCAAAAAGTAATTGCAAATATTGTTGTAGTTGTTTTCCACCATATATGATGTTTTCTGCATTAATGCCAAAGTAATCAACTGCTTTATTTCTATTTAGACCAGATATTGCTTTTTCCATTTCTTTATTTGTAATTGGGCTATGTTTGAAACGATCTTTGCATATGTCTATTATAATTTTAGCTTCATTTTCAATTAAATCAAGGTATTCAGTGTCATAATTTGGATTTGGTATTTTCTATGCAAGTTGATGGAAATGTATACTCCAGCCATCTATTATATCTTCATTATAAAATATCTTATCATCAACATTTAATTGGTCGATAAATTTTGATAATTTACTTCTTTGATTTTTAATGATCTTGTGAAACATTTTTCGATCGGATGGTCTAGCATCAATCAATTTTTGGCATTCACATATCCTCCTTTTAGCAACTTCCAATCTACATTCTTTTCTTAAAGCATATGTTGTCTGTTTTTTATTTTTCAAATATAAGTTATCGGTCTCTTTCGGTCTACCATTAATTTTCCATTAATAAAATGCAATCTTCTTGTTTTTGAGAGCGTCTTTAATTTCTTCATTCATAACTTGCAAACATCTCAAACGACTAAATATCAGAGGTTATCGAAAAATAAATCGTATCTTGAATTGCCATTGGTGACCCTCATTGGTTTAAAAACATTTACGTCAATATGACAATCATTTATAACATGAATATTGATATATTTGAACTCTATTATTCTAAAATTAAAAGGTCAATACACCGGTTTGTTTACTAGCTAACGCGTATTAATCACAGCCATGCACATGTTTAAATTGGGATATGATTATATATATATTGTAAAGTGGCAACATTAAAAAAAAAAGATCTTAATTTTTTTCGTTTCCGTTTTGCACATATTTTTTGTAAATTATTAACGAATTGGTGACCGGTAATTTGCATTCGACCTGCAATGCTTCCTTACCGGGTCGTTGTATTCGAACTGTTCGTTGTTCGGTTACTCTGAGTCAGTGATAATTATTTCATTTTTTTCGTCTTCATCTTTTTATAGACATTTGTTCTATTAATATATTTAGTTACTTATAACAAAAGCGGCTTGTTAATTAGTATGCATGGAAAACAGAATAATTGAATCCAGTTTTCTATATTTTTTAGGACCACTGTATTTGTCAATGTGAAATCATATAATATGCATATAAAAAAAAAACATTATTGTGTCTTTTTTTTTCTTTTCATCTTATCAATAAAACCTATTAAAGAGTTTATAGAAAAAAAAGATGTGGAATGATTGCCAATGAGACAACTCTATAAGAGACCAAATGACACAGAAATTAACAACTATAGGTCACAGTACGGCCTTCAAAAACGAACAAAGCCTTATAAAAGGCCCGGAAATGACAAATGTAAAACAAATAAAACGAGAAAACAAGCGGTCTAATTTATGTACAAAATAATGAACGAAAATCAAATATGTAACACAGCAACTAATGACAACCACTGCATTACAGGCTCCTGACTTGGGACAGGCACATATAGAATGTGGCGGGGTTAAACATGTTAGCAGGCGCCAATCCTCCCCTAACCTGTGCTATGGAGGAATAGTACAACATAAGAACAAACCATAAAAATCAGTTGAAAAAGGCTTAACCTATCAGATGGATACAAATAGAAATACATCATCAGGCTATAACAAAAACACAGACTCCTTGCATTTATTTAATAAACCAGCTAGCTCCACCCTTTGACCACAACCTGTGGTATATTCCAGGCGCGGATCCAGTCATTTTGAAAGTGTGTTTCATTGGGTTTAGTTTTTTTTATTTGGGGAAATGGACAGTCTAATTGTTTGTATGTTTTCTTAGCGTGAATTTAAATTTTGAAATCTCATCAGGATAATGCATGCAAGGAGCACTATTGACACTTAAAACACTAAGTCTGAAACTCAAACACAGACTGTATGTACATAGTTTGTAAAACGGGATTCCCCACTGTATCCTGTCATTTCTTATTTACATTTGTGTTCCAAGAACAGAATTCAAACCTTCAAAACAACCCGCTAACTACTTTTTCATGTAATATATGTTTCTGCTGGGGCATAACATGTTGTGAGCAAGTACACTACCCAGGTTGTAAAGCATATCTTTAATGCTAAACATGAGGTTCTCCGGGGTAATAAGCGATGTCTTCTCGCGGTCCGCTCTGACATCCGCCCAGATACTCATGATAACATTCCAATAGTAAGAAACCAGGACGGGTTCATATAGAAACTTTTGAAAGCAGAGAAAACTGTGCACCTTATGTTCGTCATGACTTTAACAGATGACCATACAAATTCTCAAAATCAAGGATAACAATAAGGCTGAAGTAATTTGGTTCAGTCATGGGTTTGTTAATAGTTAATAAACTATTCCCAGGTTCTATTATTTAATTAACTGTTGACACAGGGATATACGTTTCGTTGATAGCAATTAAAACGATAAAATGGAAAGGTTAAAATAATTGCAAATACTTTTACACATTTTAACTAAGAAAAAATATTCCAAGTCATTCAATGCCCATGACCAGAGGCGCAAGGCTAACTAATCTCCATGGAAATGAGATATGCTAAGGTGCGGATCCAGAATTTAAAAAAAAGAGGCCTGAGGGGGTTCGATCCAAGCCTATGCTGTACCATACATGAAACCCATACATAAGGGTGTGGGTCCCTTGACCCTCTTAATCCATCGCTGATGCTGAAAATGCCAATAGTCAATACAAGCGTGCATATCAATTAACTATCACTTACTTTATCACCAGATTCTCATAAGCATGACTTAGATGTAGGGGGTATATAATCTACTGCTTATACTACTGCATTACACATGTCATTGACCTAGCTACAGTTTTATAGTGGTTCTGAACTTCACTTCAATTCAACTGAACCAATCTAACTTTAACATGTAAACTAGGCAATAGTTTCAAGTTCAATGGACAATGACTGAGGGGAAATGGAAAATGATCTCTATGGGAGAAATCATGAATATGTTTGCCCTGAAATTTTTAAACTAAGCAAAATCCATGGATATGATATTTGCTAATATATGCATGCTTATACAACAGCATGCCAAATATGATCGAGTTGAAATAAGGTTTTCTTACGTAACCTAAACACAGACTTTTTCAAACAGCGACACCACGCTATAAAGCGCACAAACATGTCTCACATTAATGAATTCTTTGAGGCAAAACAAAAACCATCAAGAATGTTCATAACAACCAGGTGTTTGTTGGCATGCACCTCTTTCTTAAACATTTCATGAAACCATATAATGAAAATCAGATTTATATTTTTATATTGTGTAACACATAAAGGATAATCACCCTGGAATGTTATTTAGAAAATACCAATATGTTTTCACTGTATTACCTAACAAAAAGCCCAATATGGTTGCAAGAGCTAAACGGTATCAGATTGGTCTTAGCTTCAAAGAGCCAGTAAATCATAACAATTAGTTTAGAATTTCCCCATAAGTATTTTATTTTGGTTCCGATCGGAGACACACCATGGACTAATTGTCATCATAGGCGGTCAAACGTTCATATTTAAAGCAAACGAGAACCTTTTCTTTTGTTTTAATTTCCAAAAGACTTCATATACATATTGGTACAATATGTATGTCTCTGAACACATGAACTGAAATGAAATCAAACCATGAAGGAATATTCTATAATAATACCTATTGTGAATATTGTTGTTATGTTTAGTTTCAGTGAGTTGTCTGGTTTAAGAGGAAGCCTTGATAGTTGGTTATTTTGTTGGAATTATTTTACACTTTGTAATCTTTGTGTCTTCCACAGATTGATACACAAGGCCATACATAACTGTGACCTGTATTTTCTAGCATTTACTTTGGTCTCTGCATGGTGGAAAGATGTCTCATTGGCGATCATACCACATCTCCCAATTTTATATATTGATAATCATACAGATCCAAGAAAATAGAAGCTACAAGTATCATTCTATTAAACGTACAAAATTTCTGAGAAAGACAATTCTGTACTTTTGGATATATGGTATTAATTATAGACAATTTCAGTCAACTTGAACTTTCACATAGACAGTTAATTTTTATGTGAGCCTGTCTGTTTTATTTAAATGGTTGACAATATATCATTTATCCATTTCATATCCTTGTGACATTAAAATATTCTGAGCATACATGTAACATGACATGGGAAGAAAGATAGTCAGACATACCAAACAGTTATTATATTTGGGATATTATATGTGACTGTAATATATATGTTAATATTTTCATGATAGCAGATCTAATGACCACTTGACTTGGTTAAAAGTTTTCTTGGATTCCATGAAAAGGAATGCTTTCATTTTTGATATGCAGCTTGAAAATGTTGAGTTGATGTCTATTAGCAATTTTAAGATCTGCCATGTCTGCTGTGCAGCTACATCTTGTTTCCTGATATTTTAGAATTAATTGCATGCAGCCACAAAGGCCCAGACCTGGTATTGTTTTTTTTTCTTCTATTTTTTGATGCTCTTGTTAAAACAGTTTTAAAATTTTCAACATCTTTTCTGGTAGCTCATTTTTACCTGGAAAAGAGAAGTCATATAATATAAATCAAGAATTAACAAAATTGGCATGTAATTACACATGTATATAAAGATCAGTTGCGGATCCAGAAATGTTCATAAGAGGGGGCCCACTCCAGTCATGCTTCAGTGATTCCCTATATAATCAACCAAATTTTTCCCACAAAAGGGGGGGGGGGACGGCCCGCTGCCACCCCCTAAACCAACCTCTGAAAATAAAATTGTCTTATTGTTACTGCTGATTCATTTTAATATCAATTGTGTATACAACAGAGGAAAACAGTCCAATAAAATTATATTTTCTAGAAGTATGTTAGATGAGTAATGTACTTTTAACAAACAAGTCCATTTGCCTTGCTTATTTACACAAATGGCAAAAAAATGTTTTTTTAACTAAAATATAGAACTCTAATAAATGTTTGTACATTCACTGATAAGCTGATACGTCATTTCTAAAAAATATTTCCTATATGTACTTACACCTTTATATCAAAACAGTCTCTGTATGTACATGTATCTCTTTCTTTCCATTTCACATAACTCAACAACCAGAACAGCATCTGCAACAACCAAAATTTAAGGTTTATGACCACTTCTGTAGCCATGTGAATTATGAAATTTTCAAACTGCAATAGTATCAAAACAGCAAAAATAATGAATAATAGAGATGGGCCGTTTTGTACATATACCAAGGGGAAACTTCGTGCAAAGCATTATTAATTTATTTATTGTTTCATTGCATTTAATAGAAAAAGGGGATTTTGTGGCAAATAAACCAAGATTTTTGTGTAAATCTACAGACTTTAAAAAAGAGATTTTTGTTATAAAATTTTAAACATAGATTACTCACTTGTTTTTCTATGATGTGCTAGCATTTATTGTTTACAAAAAGTCCTAAACAACCTTTAAATTCCAAAAAAACTCGTGCTGAGTCACTAAAGTCGAGTGCATCCTAGAAGGTATACTTGAATTGGTCCATATATTTATATTTGTTCTAACCAATATTTTGATTTATAAACTTGTCCTAAGGAAATCATTGCTAGCACTGCATGCATTATTCCTCTATCTATCAAGCATAGAATGGTCAAATATTAGATTACAAGGGAAAGGCTAGATTTTATTTAAAATTTACATGTTTAGCATTGAAACAACAAAAGGATACATAATTCTTAAAGAGCACTAATAATGAGCTCATGATCCTTGCTATTAATATTTATATATGCAACCCGACTTTAAATAAAGATTACTTTACTATACTTTACTTTAAAGACTTTGAGACAAACTTGTCATATAATCAGAAATGTTATTTCAAACAAAGCTGTCCAGTCTTTTGTTTTTTTTGGTCATCATCATGGATTTAAAAGTTTCTGAGTAAATACTTTAAAGTTAATCACTTTAAATTTGGTTGCCTTTATGAAAGGAGCAAAAATGCTTACCATGTGCAATACAAAGATTTAATATTGACCTGACATTGACAATTAAACAATGACTGAGAGCACAACATGGTACATTTTTGTAAAAAATATACATGACTATATCAAGCAATGTAAATTATATAATAAAATCTAGGATGTTATTCACTTACATTCTGCCAACACTTAAAGTAGGAACTATTTCTAGGACTCTCGTGATCGTGTGATAAACAATTTGTGAGGTGGTGTTTGATTAGCATATCAATAGAACAACAACAGTGTCAACATGCAACTGCAAACTCGTTATTATGTTGATTGATTTTGTTTTTATCATTCAATATCGAATATTATAACTTTATCAATCATTTGTAATGGATATTATGTCAAATAATCGAAAAGTTATGGCAAGCCGTTGTGGAATTTATTCCCTATTTATTAATATTAAAAAATGATTTTTTAATATTACAAAATCATTTTTTAATACTAATAAATCGATTTTTTAATATTAAAAAATACTGTCATTTTTTAATATTAATAAATGAATATTTAATATTAAAAAATCATTTATTAATATTTAAAAAATCATTTATTAATATTTAAAAAATCCTTTTTTAATATTAAATATTCAGTCTGATATTTTAATATTAATAAATGAATTTTTAATATTAAATAATACGCTGATTTTTTAATATTAAAAAATCAACACCAATGTTACCTTAGCGTTTAATATTTATAAGGCAAACCAATCATTTATCTGTCAAACGCTTTAATGATGATTATCGGACAAGTCGGTCCGGAGAAATTTGGGACCGACTATGTTAAGTCAACTCGGACCATCTTATATCGACCCAGACAAGTAATTAAGGAAAGTTCGAACTATTATAAACCATTAAATATTGAATTTTGAATTAAATTTTCTTTTAAAATCGTGCATTAAATTTGCCAAAATAATTTCAAATTATAATTTGATCCATGTGAATGGACTCAATCCTACGGAAGCGTATTAGGAACAAAACAAATTAGCATTGACCAATATTTGGCAAACATATAGACTAAGCAACTCTTTCGTATGGCAAGCCGTTGTGGAATTTATTCAGTGTACCACTCTGAATGTAAATTTTTTACTCTTCTGGTGATAGCCACGTGGTTAAATATTCTGCATTGTCCCTATCAAAGCTTTGAAAAGATCTATTCATATCAATATTTAAGTTCATGAAAAAATCAAAACATAGTGTCACATTCATTATTACCACTGACTAAATTGTCAATCGATTTATTTACTTGGGCCAACATAAGCGATTTGTAGGTATTTTTTTGTTAGTCAAATAGGACACGGAATTTCAAACCTTCCATTTTTTTCCATTTCAAATATCTGTAATACGATTTCCGTAACCTGGAGTCTGGACTAAGCAAACATACAAACTATTAGTACCATACATACAGTTACCTTGTTTCTTCTGTCAAAAATTTGAAACGTGTTTAGGTTAAACTAGTAGTACAGTGACACGATATTTCTTTATAGCAATATAAAGAATAAGGAGGTGTTATGTGGTAATATATGATTGCCAATAAGACAACTATTCCACCGAAGTTCAAACGAATTGGGTGTAAGCAATTATAGACAACTGTTCGTCCATCAACAATGAGAAAAATATAGGGACATAGTAAAAAATAAAATGGGCACATTTGTTTCGAATTCGAACTTTTGACATGTCAATTCTAAAAATTTCGACTTTAACTCACATTTTTGACTTTTCAAATCTCGAAATTTTGACTGTAATCTGAAATTTTGACTTTTCAAATCTTGAAATATCGTCTTTTTTAAAAAGTATTACAACTTTAATATAAGTATTCAAACACAGCTATTACAATTTTAGAAGGAGATGACATGGACGCAAATAAATAAACATAAAGCGTCATCCAAACATTTTGTCTATTTATATTCAGAAATAGTTTTGTTCTCTTTAATAATGATATGGATTAACATTTAAGATTGAAGAGTTTAATTCGGAAGGAGCATGCGTGTTGACAGAAAAAAAATGTTATTTTCCCATATTCCATGTTTTAGTGTCCACGACTCTGTCATAGGGTCGTCACATCTAAGGACATTTTGCATCCTATGTTTTATGATTGGGTTAAAAGTCCTGTTCGGTATCCCAAAAGCAGGTCAACGACTTTGCCTTGTTGAAACAATGGTAAATCAAGTGGCAAAATATGCCATGCATTTTCAGGACGACTCATGAGCTCCTCAGTTTTCTAGTTTTAGAACATATAAACATATAAATACTGAGAAGTTGAAATTTCCAGATTCTAAATTCGAATTTGAAACAAAAGTTCAGTGCCAATTTTAATTCTAGTTTGTCCCAAATATGATTCCGTAGTATCCAAATTTCATTAAGTTTATCATAAAACTTAATTCATACCCAGAAAAAAAACCTTGTGAAGTGGATGCTGATTATAGTGTGTGATACATATAGATTCTACCACTGCATCGAGTGTGATACGATATTTATCCACTCGAGAAAGTTAAATTTTCAAATTTAAAACGCGAGGCTCGCCGAGCGTTTTAAATATTTAAAATTTAACTGTCGAGAGTGGATAAATATCGTATTACACGAGATTTGGTGGTGGAATCTGTTTCTATAATGATTTTCAAACAATATGCAGGCAAACTTATTCCTTCTTTTTGAATGATCTGCAAAAAGATGTGTTCTATGTGACGTCATCAGGCATGGTCGCCTTTTTTCATGCCGTCATAATAGGAAATTCAGAGGCAATCGTAACTACTCGGCCATTCTCGCTATGCAATACAATAAAGTTATTTCTTCGTGCAACCAGAAAGGCCGAGTAGTTCCGATTGATTCAGAGGAAAGCAAGAAAATTCGACGTCATAATCAGATTTCAACCAATGAAAAACTGAGATCAAACGAACCACACGTTGATTAAATTTTTTTTATACAATGGGTGCAGAAAGGGATAAATTGACGAAGAATTAGAGAAACAGCGTTATCATCATAAACAAATATAATAATGCAGGGGCGTAGCTAGAATAAAATGATGTGCATGCCGATCTACCGCCGAGCGGATCGAGGCGAAAATTTTATTGGAACATTTTATGCAGAAAATGATTTTTCGGTTTTCGGTCATACATGTCATAGGAGGGTTAAAAGTTGTGCTACATAGACAATTCATGAATGCAAAACTATTCAGAATTCGTTTGAATAAGATAAATCAGGGTAAATTGAATACATAAGCAACACATTTTTGTGAGACAGAATTTACTCAAAATTGCCCAAAATCTGCTCTTCGGGTCTTAGCAGAAACGAACTTCTCCATTACTATGTCAATATTCACACTGAAATCCGGATGAATATGCATTATTGCTAGCGATGATAACCTATATCGTTATTCATGGTTAATCGTACATGTGTTTTCAACCGACGTAGTACACTGAACGATCTCTCCGCGGTAGCACTTGTTACCAGCATTGTCAACATAATACTCAAAATACTGAAGGATACAACACGGCTTACCGCATCGAGTGTCTCACACAGCGAGGTTGGCATCTGATCGCGAGGTGTTATACACCAGCGTGTTCGCCATCGAGCGACCTCCCGATTGAATTCGTCTAAATTACATGCCAGGTCAGTCTCGTATGTCTCAAACAATGTTGCGATTTGTTCGTTGGTTATATTTCCAACAACACGAGGAAGCAGATACTGCGCAGAGAAGCGATTTTTTTATGATATCTGCGTACAGTTAGTCAACATACCCACCCCCTTTTGAGGGTTTAAATTACGGTTTGCGGGAAATCAGACGATGAGGTTTTTTTTACCCGGGGTATGAAGAACTACGATAAATTCGGGTTCATACGTTGTAATTTACACAATCTATAGTATAGTAATAATTTTGGTCTGTTTTTTTTTAAATTGACTGTTTTTCGGGGTATGGATTTTCATAAACACTATTTATTTTTTTGCCGGTATACTTTTGACTCAGACATGATTTCTACTATTGAATTGAACACAATTTTAAAGTCATTTCCACATACCCCATCAAATCCAAAGAGTTACCCCTGGAATATGTTATTCCATGATTTTGGGAAACGTTTAACACACTTAAAGTGACTTGGAAGAATTAAAATCAACATAGCTCGCCGGGAAGTCAAAATTATTTACATCTTTCCAGTTGGATGTTAGTAATTGCATCTTAACTTCTGTCATCTGCAAATTGGAATCGTGCAGACTTGACATGTCTAGTACGGAGGGGTGTTGGCTTTGGAGGTGACGGTCGAAACTGAGCTGGAGCTTGCAGTTGTATCTCTGTCATGATTTATTCTCTCAGACTCTGGCAAGGATTGTTGGGAAATGGGTTCTTCTGAAGAACTTTTCGTTTCTATTGAAACGGGTTTAGTAAAAAAAAACTGTCAATAGTTTTCCATTTAGCCTTTTCACCTTTTTCGCTACGTTTCGACGTCATGTCGTGTTCAACGCCGGAAATTTTATGTGCTATTTTTTTTCAGCATGCCGATGTGCACGCAACTGCGTGTTGGCTTATAGGGAGCTACGCGCCTGTAATGATTGATTAAACAAGAGTTTATATAGTTTGTTCTTATGTTGTGCCGTTATACTACTGTCAAAGGTTAATGGGTTAATGGGTTCTCACATACATGTTTAATGTTTTACTCTGGTACATTGTCGAAGTCATGAACCGTAGTTCAGTGGTTGTCGTTGGTTCCTGTCTGTCATGATATTTTATTTCGTAAAAAGCCGTTAGTTTTCTAAGTAACGTTGCTTCATTTTTCATGGCGGGGTCTATTATAACCACCTATACCAGAGTATATAAAGTCTAGGTACTTGTTAATGTCTAATAGTCAAATGAGGTACTTGTTAAATGTCCTCAATTAAAAGAAGGTATTCGATAATTGTCCAATATTTGTAGCAGGTTCTTGATGAATGTCCTATAGTTATAGCAGGTACTTGTTGAATGTCCTATAGCTATAGCAGGTACTTGTTGAATATCCTATCGGTATACTAGGTTCTTCTTGAATGTCCTACAGATATAGTAGGTACTTGTTGAATGTCCTATAGTTATAGCAGGTACTTATTGAATATCCTATTGGTAAAGTAGGTTCTAGTTGAATATCCTATAAATATAGCAGGTACTTGTTGAATGTCCTATAGATATAACAAAACTTGTTGAATGTTATATAGCTATAATAGGTAAGTGTTGAATATTCTATTGGTATAGTATGTTCTAGTGGAATATCATATAGATACAGCAGGTACTTGTTGAATGTCTTATAGTTATAGCAGGAACTTGTTGAATGTCCTATAGTAAAAGCAGGTACTTGTTGAATGTCCTGTTGGTAAAATATGTTCTTGTTGAATGTCCTACAGTAATAATAGTAAGAACTTGTTGGTTGTCATCTAGTTATATCAGGTATTTGTTGAATGTCCTATAGTTATAGCAGGTATTTGTTGAATATCCTTTTGGTATAGTAGGTTCTTGTTGAATGTCCTACAGATAAAGCAGGTTCTTGTGGAATGTTCTATAGCTATAATAAGTAATTGATGAATATCCTATTGGTATAGAAGGTTCTTGTTGAATGTCCTATAGTTGTAGAAGGTACTGGTTGAATGTCCTATAGTTATAACAGGTACTCGTTGAATGTCCTATTACTATAGCAGGTACTTTTTGAATATCCTATAGCTTTAGCAGGTACCTGTTGAATATCCTATTGGTAAAGTAGGTAGGTACTCATTGAATGTCCTATATATATATATATCAGGTACGTGTTAAATTTCCTTTTGTTACAGTAGGAACTTGTTGAATATCATAGTTCTAGCCGGTAGTTGATGAATGTCCAATACAATTACTAGGTAGTTGATGAATGTTCTTTACGTATAGCAGGTACCTGTTGATTATAGTAGAGCTATAGCAGGTACTTGTTGAATTTCCTATAGATATAGCAGGTACTCGATGAATTTCCTATATCTATAGCAGGTACTTTTTGAATATCCTATCGGTATAGTAGGCTCTTGTTGAATGTCCTAGACATATAGCAGTTACGTCTTGAATTTGCTTTTTTATAGTATGAACTTGTTGAATGTCATTTAGTTATAACAAGTACTTGTTGAATGTCCAATATCTAAATCAAGTACTTGTCGAAAATCCTATTATCTCAGATGGTGCCATTAAAACAAAATACATATATGGTTTGGCGATATCTGGCCACGGCTTTTATTCATAATATAGATTCATATGATATATATATATATATATAGATAGATAGATGTATATGTATATGTAGATAGATATATGGTTGGTTACCCGAAGATAATATGGCAACCTTGCTGCAAAATGCAGATAGATAGATAGATATATATGAAAATGTAAAGATGCACCGTGGGATACACTGGTGCTTCAAATTTAGAAAACACCGTGGGATACACAAGTGTAGTCTGTATTATCCAAAAACCTAAAATTTCATAGTTAACATTAAGATTCTATGCAGCGAATTCTGCCATTACTGGGAATCTATTTATGATGCTCAAAGTTCAAATAAAAGTCACTTTTCTCAACCGCAAACAAGTTAACATCATCAGTCAAATCTGTATTACCACTGTCACCGACAAAAACCTGAAAAATAAATACAAAAGAGCAGTATCTCGTACAAAAAAAAGATATTAGATAACTACAGATAGATAGATAGATATTTTTATTCAAAGTACAACTTGGTACATATATATGTTAAATTATCTATATGATGTTTTGTGAACAACTGTTCAAAAACATATTTACCTACACAGATATAAATACTAACCGAAACTACACCAAACCATAAGATAGTTGATTGTATTTGTATACCATAAAATATAGTATATTATAGTATTTTATCAAATATATATTCAAGATGTTTAACAATTCATTTCATAAGCATGACAAGTGAAAAACATCCAGTTGAAAAATTTCTGGTCTGATCGAAAATCATAATATTTATGTAGCAACCCGACAGCTAATTATAAAGGCAATAATATAGTTGTATATTCTATAGCAACACAAGTCCATGCTTTGCAATAACCTGGTCAAATTTGATACCATATTTACTTAAGAATTGATGAACCGCATAATCCATCTGATCATGTTCTTCGTCTCATTGTGCAAAAATCCCACTCTAGAACTACCTGTGTCATTACCTGCTACATGTTTTATTAAGAAATATGGTGGATCCTCATAGTTTTATGTTCTGAGTTAACTTTTAACATGCTTGACAATCATGCCACCACAAAGATTCATTTCCGTGCCTAGACCTAAGTCAACCTTATCTGGAGGATGTCGGTCTGCTACAAAAACATACTTACTATTGAGGATTCTACTATCCAAACATTAAAGCTAATAGGATCTCCTACAATTCTTGTACAGCAAATAGCTACATGGAAGTACATATGTAATACCAATACAATTTAAAGCATAATTAATCGAGAAAAATAATAATCCTTCTGTAACCCCTGTCTTAAGTTGTCAGCATTGGATCTCCGACCCTTTAATAATCCTCAAAAACAATTGAAAAGACAGCTTCAAACACACTGAATTCATACCAAGTTTAGCCAACAACAAGATAAGGAAATATTTGCTAGACTTCAGCATGACTCTGGTTAAGGTAAATGTAAAGGCCTGGAGTGTTTAATACCTTCTTAAAAACTGACAAACCTCAAATTTTTTTTAATTTTTTTTTTTTTGACACATCTGTTAAATTTTCCTAACAAAATATCCAAACCTAGTAAAAGTAATGTCACAATTTTTGTTGAGAGAGATACAAAATGTACAAGTAAGCAATACCTTAACAATTCATAAAGAGAGATAGGAAATGTATTCATTAAAACAATTAGAGATCTGAACTCATGAAAAAAGAAAGACTGTCCTCTCTGATACATCTGTATATACTGGGTGCTGTGGAACTTACAATTAAACGGTTACTAAAGGTCTGAAATAACAGTAATAAAACCCGTGGGGTAATAGCAGGATAAACATCTGCAGTTAGGACCAAGCATCTGAAGCGATCCACCTAAAAACCAGAAATGGCTTCAGCCATAATGAAAAATTTGTACCAGAACAGTGATAATGAATGTCATACTAAACTCCCAAATATATGAACTAAAATAAAAATTTATACAAGGCTAACATAGGCCAGAGGCTCCAGACTTGGAACAGGTACTAAATTGTGGAGGGGTTAAACAAGTTATTTAAAATCTCAACCAAATGCAGAACAAACAAACACACAGCAATACGCACAGTAAAAATCACACAGTTTAAAGAAGTCCGAGTCCAATATCAGAATAGGTAACAAAACAAACAAAACAAAAATTGAAAAATGACGACATTACATAAATCAACAATGGACTACTAACAGTTACTGACACGCCAGCTCTAGACCTCAATTTAACTGTTCGAAAGATTATGTCTTCATTATATGAAATATCTAGCACCATCCCTCCAATGGGGGTTTAGTATCATATCATCATAACATATATTAGAGGAACAACCCGTATCAACCAGCAACTGGTTTAAGAATAAATGAGATTTTGTCCGATGCAAAGACTGTGCAAGTGAATCAATATTGAAGCCAAAATATGCAATTTTTTATGCAGGCAACAGTATTCCTTCTTTATAAGGTTGCTTTAATGTTTTGTTAGCTTTTGAGGTAAACTGACATTTTGTACTTTGTAAAGTATATTACCATAAAAGATTGGATGGGAAATACCTGAATGTGTAAGATGTCTATGTAGAAGGGAATTTCTTATAATGTTATAAAACTGCCCATAAATACAAGGCAAGAAGAACTGGATCAACTCAGGCAAATGCAAATTTCAAAGAATGACTATGAGGACCTGTATACTAGAGTCTAAATCCATGTAAGAAGAAACAAACATTTAGTATAACAGCAGCAACCACTCTCTGTCTCGTCTTGGGTTTGAACCAGGTTGCCAAAATGAAAACTTATTTCCATTTGAGGTCTAGGTGACCTGAAACTTGGATTATCATAAGAAGGCCTAGATTATGCAAAGTAAACATGGTAAATGTCTCCTGTTTAGACAACCAACAAGTTATAAAGGATGACCTGTGTTACACAAAAAAAAAAAAAAAAAAAAAAAAAAAAAAAAAAAAAACTGCTTAACAACATCTAGGTACCCTCATAATTAAAAGCATAACATTTCAAATTAGTCCCAGTGTTCATGCTAACTGAAATTCAACCTGTACTATAATTTTCATTAATAAATATCAACCATAATTTTGAATCACCAGTAGCCAAGCAACCAGTAGGGCCAATGGTTTTATGCAAATGAAATTGTTGTCATAATGCTTCCAGCCTAAAATTAACAAAGCTTGGCACCTAAATGTACAGCCTAAGATACTCATCTATTTGAGCAACTCCTAGAATCTTCCAGGATGAAGATTTCAATAAATTCTAGTATATATATAAATTAAAGCTGTTGTCGACACCTAAATACTAAAGATTTTTAACTGGTTTGGAGCAGACTGCAAGACAAGCTGTAAATAATTACTTAATTAGTACTAGCTTGTGCTAATATTACATGTACATACATGTATATATCCTCGCTTATCTGCGTCTGACAATTTACACAAAACTCTGTAATAGTCTCATTTTAAAAATGTTTACAAGATAAAACCATTTTGGCCCCTATTTTCCCTTAAATATATAAAAAAAATTAAATTAAAAATAATGAAAATTTCCCACACACCTAAGGCTGGTTGGTAGGGTTTGGGCAAACAGAAATATTTGCAGTCTGTCCTAAAATAGTGGTCAATAAATATACACTTCTATAAATTTTGTCCTTTATAATTGTGGTACTTTATTGCAACATCTGTATTCATGCAGTACATGCATATCGATTTGTAATATTCAGATTATGTATCAAGATAAATAATATTATAATAGTCAATAGTGTTCTCCATTACAAATCATATGTCACAAATCATATGATAATATACAAAACAACATTTAAAAGTTTCACATGTAATATATTTATAATAATATATAATTGTAACCTTATATTTAAGAATTGTTTTTTATTTCTAACGCATGATGTGGCATCCCCTATAAATTGTAAAAATAACACATTCAGCAATATTTTGTGGATTTAAGTTTAGAAACTGAGATATAATCATTACACAAATCTTTTAAATCTAAACCATACGATTGGAAAAAAAAAAAATAAAAGTTGCCTTAATGTTTATACATATGTTTGTTATAGTTAGAATCACATGTACATGTAGGGGTTTAACTTAAAAGTAATATACTGCTTTTGTAAATCTGATGATTACCTGGTAAATTATCAACTGTGAACTGGAACATACTAATGCAGAGCTCTGGGGGTTTGCATAAATGACGTCTGATGATGATCCAATGTACAAATGTATGTGACCTAAAGGAGTTGAGTTAGTGGCGTGATGAGTCGTGAATCCAGTTCAGTCTGGTGACCTATTTGTAAAAACTGGTGTGTCATTGTTGTCTATGTCTCTGGTCCAACTGTTACAACCCTGGTGGTATTCTGTGGCAGAGCAAGGTCGCACTTTTCGCTTTCTGACTGATCTTCCCAACATTGTGCTACAACTCAACAAAAAGTAAATATTAGTTCCACCATGCTACAGCATTGAAATAACAAAATCAAATGACTGCACAAAGAAACAATAACAATAAAAATAGTACGTATACTCCTAGTTGTGTCGAAGATAGTTACAATAATTTAAAAAAAAATTAATTTAAAATTAGTATATATACATGATATATATATTTATTAATTCTTAATTCCATAGTCAGTTGATAGTGACATAGTGTAATATTTGTATATAATTAAGTTATTTCAACAATAATTTAAGCTGTGGCCTGTTGATGACATTATGACTAACTTTGTGATTTATCTGAACTATTCATACCATATCGACCTAGTCTAGGCTAGAGAGTAGTAGCAACTATACATGTCACTGTGATGACTGATATGACAGACTCGACACTCTGACAGTTTTTAGTAACAAGTGTGTAGGTACACTCAAAATTTATAGCAGGATATATACAGCTAATGATATATGTTTGCTTAACTCCACCAGCAAGCTAACATTTAGACATGACGATTTTTGGCTACTGCTTCTTAACTCCGGGCATGGTCTATGTGCAAGATTTCCAAGATTTTTGTTTATTTGTATCGAAAATTGAACTTCCGGTTACGAACCTGGTTCCTTTCGCCCCAAAATGTACGTCCCTTTTACACTTTTGTACGTTCATATCCTTTCATGGAATATTTGCTGTATATGTGCTATGAAAGTTCTAGGTACACAATTACCGATGTATACCATTTTAAGGAAAATTTAATTATAATTCGGGAGTTCATCAGATAACGCCTGCCCCACAACACATAAACATTAAAGACACGTTACTAACCTGCATGATCTGTTACAGCGCAAATACAATTGTTAGGCCACAGGAGTTTGAAATCCTAGCAATAACAGTGTAAAAATATGCCAAACTCGACTATCACAGTAGTCGTCATATATATATATATATATATGAGTACCTTTATATCAGTATCAGACAGACTATATACATGCATCTAATTTGATGTAGAAATACAATGACGAAATCATTATTATAATCTGCAAATCTTAGGACAATAATGCATCTAATTACTCATATTTGTAAAAATTAAATAATTTATAAAAATGAAAACGAATAATGGGACCAATCTCTTTCAGTCTTTGCATTAGTCCAAATAATTATGACGTCTTGAAAGGCTATTTTAATTTTTTTAAGCCTTTCAAGACGTCATAATTATTTGGACTATCTTTGCATGTGCTCTCCACGTGGCGATGAAATTCCTGATGGAATATGGTTAAAAAAATGACGATCGATAAAATGAATTCTTTCTAAGATTACTTCTAATAAACATTGGAAGCATGAGGCAGGTTATAACCATACAATACAAACACTACTTTACCATTTACAAGATACTACTTTTCATTTTTTTCAATTTTACCTCATACGAAATTTAAACAGCTTGCTTGCTGCGATGAAATTCTGTAAAGGACTAAATTACGTCACAGAATATAACGTCACTCATGTTAGGTAAATCTAAAACATGAAACACAATCCGTCAGTGGCCCCAGCGATAACTGAATTTAAGTCTATTTACTTAAATTCCATTAGTGTAGTAGGTTCTTGTTGAATGGCCTATAGATTTAGGAGTCACGTGTTGAATATCCTATAGATATAGCAGGTACTTGTTGAATGTCTTATAGTCATATCAGGTACTTTTTGAATGTCCTATAGTTATAGCAGGTACTTGTTGAATGTCATATAGTCATAGCAGTTACTTGTTGAATGTTCTAAAGTTATAGCAGGTACTCGATGAATTTCCTTTATGTATAGCAGGTACTTTTTGAATGTCCTATCGGTATAGTAGGCTCTTGTTGAATTTCCTAGACATATAGCAGTTATGTGTTGAATTTGCTTTTTTATAGTATGAACTTGTTTAATGTCATTTAGTTACAAAAGGTACTTGTTGAATGTCCTATATTTATAGCAAGTTCTTGTTGAAAATCATATTGGTATAGTAGGTTCTTGTTGAATGGCCTATAGATTTAGGAGTTACGTGTTGAATATCCTATAGCTTTAGCAGGTACTTGTTGATTGTCTTATAGTCATATCAGGTACTTTTTAAATGTCCTATAGTTATAGCAAGTACTTGTTGAATGTCCTATAGTTATAGCAGTTACTTGTTGAATGTTCTAAAGTTATAGCAGGTACTCGATGAATTTCCTATATCTATAGCAGTGACTTTTTGAATATCCTATCGGTATAGTAGGCTCTTGTTGAATGTCCTAGACATATAGCAGTTATGTGTTAAATTTGCTTTTTTATAGTATGAAAACTTGTTTGATGTTCATTTGCAAAGCAGGTACTTGTTGAATATCCTATTGGTATAGAAGGTTCTTATTGAATGTCCAACAGATATAGTAGGTACTTGTTGAATGTCCTATAGTTATATCAGGTATTTGTTGAATGTCCTGTATTAATAGCAGGTACTTGTTGAATATCATATTGGTAAAGTAGGTTCTAGTTGAATGTCCTATAAATATAGCAGGTACTTGTTGAATGTCCTATAGATATAGCACATACTTGTTGAATTTTCAATAGCTATAATAGGCGTGTTGAATATCCTATTGGTATAGTATGTTGTAGTTGAATATCCTATAGATATAGCAGGTACTTGTTGAATGTCTTATAGTTATAGCAGGTTCTTGTTGAATGTCCTATAGTTGTAGAAGCTACTTGTTGAATGTCCTAAAGTTATAACAGGTACTTGTTGAATGTCATATTGCTAAAGCAGGTACTTGTTGAATGTCCTATAGCTTTAGCAGGTACCTGTTGAATATCCTATTGCTAAAGTAGGTACTCATAGAATGTCTTATTTATATAGCAGGTACGTGTTAAATTTCCTTTTGTTATAGTAGGAACTTGTTGAATATCATAGTTTAAGCCGGTAATTGATGAATGTCCAATATTATTACTAGGTAGTTGATGAATGTCCAATATTATTACTAGGTAGTTGATTAATGTCCTTTACATATAGCAGGTACCTGTTGATTATACTATAGCTATAGCAGGTACTTGTTGAATTTCATATAGATATAGCAGGTACGTGTTGAATTTCTTATTGTTATAGTATGAACCTTTTGAATGTCCTATACATATAGCAGGTACTTGTTGAATGTCTTATAGTTATAGCAGGTACTCAAAGAAATTCCTATATCTATAGCAGGTACTTTTTGAATATCCTATCGGTAAAGTAGGCTCTTGTTGAATGTCCTAGACACATAGCAGTTACGTGTTGAATATTCTTTTTTATAGTATGAACTTTTTTAATGTCCTATAGTTATAACAGGTACTTGTTGAATATCCTATATTTATAGCAAGTACTTGTTGAAAATCATATTGGTATAGTAGGTAGTTGTTGAATAGCCTATATTTTTAGGAGTTACGTGTTATATATCCTATATATATAGCAGGTACTTTTTGGATGTCTTATAGTCATAGCAGGTACTTGTTGAATGTCCTATTGTTATAGCAGGTACTTATTGAATGTTCTAAAGTTATAGCGGGTAATTGTTGAATATCATATAGTCATGGCAGGTACTTGTTGAATGTCCTATAGTTATAGCAGGTACTTGTTGGATATCCTATTGCTATAGCAGGTACTTGTTGAATGTCTTATAGTCATAGCAGGTACTTGTTGAATGTCCTATAGTTATAGCAGGTATTTATTGAATGTCCTAAAGTTATAGCAGGTACTTGTTGAATATCATATAGTCATGGCAGGAACTTGTTGAATGTCGTATAGTTATAGCAGGTATTTGTTGAATGATCTGTATTAATAGCAGGTACTTGTTGAGTATCATATTAGTAAAGTAGGTTCTAGTTGAATGTCCTATAAATATAGCAGGTACTTGTTGAATGTCCTATAGATATAGCACATACTTGTTGAATTTTCAATAGCTATAATAGGCGTGTTGAATATCCTATTGGTATAGTATGTTGTAGTTGAATATCCTATAGATATAGCAGGTACTTGTTGAATGTCTTATAGTTATAGCAGGTTCTTGTTGAATGTCCTATAGTTGTAGAAGGTACTTGTTGAATGTCCTTTAGTTATGACAGGTATTTGTTGAATGTCATATTGCTATAGTAGGTACTTGTTGAATGTCCTATAGCTTTAGCAGGTACCTGTTGAATATCCTATTGGTAAAGTAGGTACTTATAGAATGTCCTATTTATATAGCAGGTACCTGTTGAATTTCCTTTTGTTATAGTAGGAACTTGTTGAATATCATAGTTTAAGCCGGTAATTGATGAATGTCCAGTATTATTACTAGGTAGTTGATGAATGTCCAATATTATTACTAGGTAGTTGACTAATGTTCTTTACATATAGCAGGTACCTGTTGATTATACTATAGCCATAGCAGGTAATTGTTGAATTTCATATAGATATAGCAGGTACGTGTTGAATTTCTTATTGTTATAGTAGGAACTTTTTGAATGTCCTATACATATAGCAGGTACTTGTTGAATGTCTTATAGTTATAGCAGACACTCGATGAATTTCCTATATCTATAGCAGGTACTTTTTGAATATCCTATCGGTATAGTAGGCTCTTGTTGAATGTCCTAGACATATAGCAGTTACGTGTTGAATATTCTTTTTTATAGTATGAACTTTTTGAATGTCCTATAGTTATAACAGGTACTTGTTGAATATCCTATATTTATAGCAAGTACTTGTTGAATATCATATTGGTATAGTAGGTAGTTGTTGAATAGCCTATATATTTAGGAGTTACGTGTTTAATATCCTATATATATAGCAGGTATTTGTTGAATGTCTTATAGTCATAGCAGATACTTGTTGAATGTCCTATTGTTATAGCAGGTACTTATTGAATGTCCTAAAGTTATAGCGTGTACTTGTTGAATATCATATAGTCATGGCAGGTACTTGTTGAATGTCCTATAGTTATAGCAGGTACTTGTTGGATATCCTATTGCTATAGCAGGTAGTACTACTTGTTGAATGTCTTATAGTCATAGCAGGTACTTGTTGAATGTCCTATATTTATAGCAGGTATTTATTGAATGTCCTAAAGTTATAGCAGGTACTTGTTGAATATCATATAGTCATGGCAGGCATTTGTTGAATGTCCTATAGTTATAGCAGGTATTTGTTAAATGTCCTGTATTAATAGCAGGTACTTGTTGAGTATCATATTGGTAAAGTAGGTTCTAGTTGAATGTCCTATAAATATAGCAGGTACTTGTTGAATGTCCTATAGATATAGCACATACTTGTTGAATTTTCAATAGCTATAATAGGCGTGTTGAATATCCTATTGGTATAGTGTGTTGTAGTTGAATATCCTATAGATATAGCAGGTACTTGTTGAATGTCCTATAGTTGTAGAAGGTACTTGTTGAATGTCCTATAGTTATGACAGGTACTTGTTGAATGTCATATTGCTATAGCAGGTACTTGTTGAATGTCCTATAGCTTTAGCAGGTACCTGTTGAATATCCTATTGTAAAGTAGGTACTCATAGAATGTCCTTTTTATATAGCAGGTACCTGTTGAATTTCCTTTTGTTATAGTAGGAACTTGTTG